TCAGGAAATAGCTTCTGAAATAGAAGGTAAAACTTTAGACGAAGTAAAAGCATATGCTAAAGTCTTTTGGCAGCGCTATCAGGAATTACCTAGTATGTTTATATTCTAATTGTTAAATCGTTTTGATTAAGTTACATAAAAAACTAATCAACTTTAAAATTTACAAAGATCATGAAGAAATTATTGCAAAGATTGTCAAAGGCGAAAGTAAACTGCAACAGACAGTTGGTATTCAGGAACTACTTAGAGCGAAGGTGGCACAATATCGAACACCTGGTCATCAATTGCAAGTATCAAATCAAGCAAAGGGAAAGACATTATTTTCGGAAGAAGAAGATCGATATCTGTTAATAGCACTCGCAAAATACGGATATGGAACTGAGGATGTGTATGAGAAAATACGGAATGAAATTGAAAATGCTGAAGTGTTTAGGTTTAATTGGTTTATTAAGTCGAGGACCGCTGGAGAGATTGCCCGACGTTGCACCACGCTTATCAATCTTATACAAAAAGAACATGGCGAAGAAGCAGCAGCACAACCTGTACAGGAAGAAAAGAAAGTAATTATTATTATTTTATTTAGAACTTCATTTTTGGCATCACATAATATTTGATAACTCATTATTACATTTAACAGCGAAAAGTCAATGCCGATTCTTTTATAATTTCCAACGGCAGTACCCCTGCCAAACGTGGTAGACATTGAAAATTATAAAATCTAATAACACAATTAATAGTAAGCTAACAGAGTTCCAAAGTAATGAGGACAGGTTATTTCTAGGAAAGTTACATTGTACTTTAATTATAATGGAAATTTTTATAAAATTTAGAAAGCTATCAAAGCCTACTTGACTGAGTTCAAGATTATATCAAGTTTTGATACTTTTTACAATTTTACAGATATATATTCAAAAAGTTTTCAATTTTCTAATATATATTGCATTATATTTAATTTCAATTCACTTAAATACTAACAACATATCGATATTGCCTAGTACTGCTACTATTAATCATTTTTTCTATAAACCTGAAAAAAATAAATCACATTACGTAGATTAATTACATGCATATTTGGATTTTTTTTATTATAAAATTCACGTATATATACTGTTTTATTAGGGTTATAGTGAAGCCCTAAGTTAGGGCAAAGGTAGGTACAACTCACTCTTATCCCTTAAACCGTCCATTTAAGCGGGCAAATTTGCCCGCTTAAATTATTAAGTAGAAAAAAAAAAAATTTATGAAAATCTTTGCTTAAATTAGTTAGAGTAGTTCCCGAAGACCCAGATTACATAATACATAACCGTTTTAGCATTGTGTAAGATAAGCGAAGGGCACGAATTTAAGTCACGCGAAATATACAGTGCCAATATTGTAAATTATTTTACATAAACGAAATTTTTGGGTTATCCATGCTGAATACCGTATTCTTAAGCAAACTTGGTCATGAGGTCATGATTTATACGATTTGTGCTTAAAACAAGATCCCGATAATATTAAATTAAAACTTTCGGGCTATCAAACTTTCAGAATTGTGTTAGCAAAAAATTAATAATTTTAGGATTTTAATCTGCTTTATGATGTTAATCACAGAATCATTAAAAATTGATCAGTAAATTAATAAATTAAGAATTCATGATGTAATAAATTAAAATAAATAAAATAATTTAAAAAAAAAAAATTTTTTTTTTTTTATTATTTTGATCCTTGGGATCACTTTGCCTACCCACCCACCTATTAAAGGCTTTGTTTTGGTTCATAGGACTATCTCACTCACCCACCCACCTAATTAAAAGCTTGTTATTTATCTAAAGGTTTCTTGTTTTCAATATAGAACCTAAGAAAAAATTGCAGCTCTTGTTACAACAAAGCAGCACATCCTAAACACCAAACTTGACTTTGACATGGTGTTTTGTGATCCATATCTGATTTTTTGATATTTGCTAGCCATGTAAACCACTGGCATGCTTCACAATGTTCCTTCCACACTGCAAGATGATTACCAGGTGCTAAATATTTATCTGAAAGTTTAAAATTTTTTGTGACCCTTAGTTGTTTTTTTTTTTCTTTTGAATATTCTTTTAATTAAATTTCGCTATTATCATTTGCAAAATCAATAAAATTCCACACAAATTCAACCTGAAAATTTTTATATTTTTGTGTAGATCCTAAAATTTTGGTGATAAGATACGTATTAATGATTGCATCTAACAACCAAAAAAAAAGTGATATCTAATTTTGTTGTGCTGTTTGTTGGGTATCATAATAGGATCGCAATTGATTAGTGATATCCACGTTATTCATATTATAGTTGTAGTTATCAATTACTTTAGAAATTTTTAATTGCTTTTTAGACTCAGATCCAAAAACTGTATGCATCTTTATTGTATTAATACTTGTTTCCTTTGGCCTTTTCCTTTTTTACTCTACTTCCTAATAGTGTTCTGAAGTTCAGTTCAGTTCAATTTAGATTCAGGTTCAAGTTCAATTAAACCTGAACTGAACTTTAAATT